GCCGAAATGAGGTTGCCTCTAGCGCGAGAGAGAGCACCATGTCACGATTGCGTTTGTGCCTTTCCGAACATCGGAATTGAAGAATTTACGAGTCTGCCCAGCGAGCATGCATTTGCTTCATTGCTTCCTCCCGACCGCACGTCACGTCTCATGCTCTCTCGCGGTTCTGTTTGGCCGGCCGGTCGAATTTCGTGGCCTCACGTCCTGCAGCCTCTCGTCTTCTTTCGGCCGTACGTCCATCCATTGCCGCGCAGATTCAATGTCCATGCAAAGCAAACGACGGCCCCGGCGCGGCTGTCAATTATCCGTTATATACGGCCCTGGCCCTCGAACCCATCCTTAACGACCCCTCAAACTTGGCGAGATGGGAATGAGGGGGAGGAAAGGAGGAGGGAGAAAGATGGAACACGTCCCCCTGTCTTGCGCCAAGAAGCGCCGAAAATTCACGGAGCCACGGAAGGATCGCGAGACGACGTCAGCGACGACAAAGATGACACGATAAAAGACGAAGAGACGACGCGAGATGGACCAAGAGGATCTTTCCGGGAATCGTTTGGTATTCCAACGTTCCCGCCACATCGCTCTCCCCCTTTGTGTTTGTCTCTGTCTCGAGAGACCAGATTCGTCTGCGAATAGCGTGCACCGTGTTATATCTCACCGCCAAATGTGTCAGAATTGCAAATGCGTGCGGCCCGACCAAACACGAGTGGCGACGGCTCGATAGAGTGCGAATTCCGCGGTGCGAATTCTAAGATATAGGTTTCCGAAAAGGGCTGGCGGCAAGAGAGATGAAGAGAAGGATATAAAAGGAAATGTAGGAACAATAGTGTGAATCGCAACCGAAACGTCGAAAGAATCTTAGACCTATTTTAAAATGGAAATTTGAAGGAAGCCCTATAATTTTAGTCGCATTCTGAGTGTCGACCCTTCGAATTCACGCGGTAAACGATATGTTCGTTTCGTGCGAAAATTACGTTTCAATCATCGTGAGACATATTTATAATTACATGTTAGTTATGTTTCAATGGATTGCGTCAATTAATTATCTAATAATTTCCATTAATTCCTAATATCTCAATTTTACCTACCAAAAATTCCAAACAATTTATTTTTTCACGTAAGCTTATTATAATATTTAGCAATATTAATTTTCAATCGCAAGCAGATACTTAAAGACACGGTTATATATTGAATAAAAAATATCGTTCATATTTCTAAAATATAATATACGAATTTCCGATTAGATCGCAAAGTTTATATACGAAAATGCATCGAGTTAACAAATCTTTTAACAATAGACAGCGTACGTCAACTTGTCCAGAAACGACAGAGCCGTTGAAGAGGATGTTAGGATTAACAAGTATGTGGCTTCATCCCTTTCGCTCGTAAACGCCAACGCCTCGTAATTATAACGAGACGTTTCCTTCAAATATAACGAGCACAGTTGATGAGATCGGAAGGTAACGGCTCGCGATGCTAGTACTTTGGATTGGTCCCTGAGTCGATACCGATGAGCCGCAAATCAATCGAATAGTTCTCACTTTCGAACATTTAATTGGACGATACGAGCGTGAATGTTTATTACACGATTATATAACCATGTCATACGAGAAATATAGTTGTATCGCGATAACGAACCGAGCAACCATAAACATAAATATCGTTATATCGCGCGGACAAAAATATAAACTGTTTTTACTGCCACTTACTTGGTTAGATGAATCACTTGGTCGGTCAAAAGCTTCGAAACTGGATACAGCTTTTTCTTACTGAGGTCCCTCTTTTAATACACGATGCGTTGATTTTGACCTTAGATCCAAAAGTTTCGAAGACGCGTAGATCACACAATAAATTTGTACCGCCGTGTTAGCGCCGAAAACCTGAAAAAATTAACACGCGTATATGACAGTTGCTGTCGATTTTCGATTGTCTCAAAATGTTGTCGTTTAATGTATTGGGCGTGATAAAAAATGTCATATACATCATATTCAATAATAATATCAGCTAATTAATTTGGCATTAAAAAATACCTCAGCAACCGTAATAATGTAATAATCATTAAAAATATTTTGTAACAAAAATCATATGATGAAACATAAAATGGATTTTTCAAAACTAATGTCGGTAGATGGCAAGAGTATCTTGTCTGGAATCGGAAGAAAAGAAACACAAGGAAAAACGGTAAAGATTCTTCATTACTGCGCGAGTATAATTCTTCGTTTTCTCTCGCCGGTATCAAATCGCAATATAGCAGATGCGCTTATTTGAAAAATCGACTGCTGGCCTCGCGCACACCGGATGAAATTGCCTTCGTAATTTCCCCATAACTGGACCCGGCGAGTCGCGATTCTTAAAAACCCCGTGCAATTGAACGCACACCTCGCCGATCGGCCGAAGGCGCGTCGCCGGCCGGATAATGGCTTATTAACAAAGCGTTGCCGAGGAAGAACGCGGGGAAGTGACAGAGGGACCTTGACGAGAATCGTACAGAGGAATCGAGAGGAGGGATACGCGGGGAATGCGAGAATTCTGACGCCGGGAGTCAAGTCACGGGTTTCTTCGGGACGCCTTCGTAGAAAAGACTTCCAACACAACGGGGCTTTAATTACGCCGATATCACGGTAATTAAGCCGATCAATGTGTGCCATTGTGCGCCGAGCGGAGGGCCTCGCACCTCTCTCGGGTCCTATCCAATAATCCCAACCACGAGCCTCCTCCGCACGGCACAAAAGCACCCCACCCCCCCTCCGCGGGGATACAAGGACGCATCGTGCCCGCAGTCGAATCTTCGCCGTGGCCATCTCGCCGCCGTGGAAAAACCACGACAAAGAACGGGGAGGAGAATAAACACAGTGACTCTCGATTCGTCGATGATACGCGATCGTCGAGCCTTCTACCGGGGACACGAACGTCAGACGCGAAGAACCACCGCGGGTGCTCGAATGGATCTCTCATGGAGCGGTTATTTCGTTCGATCACTCGACCCGATCCGAAGCTGATGGAATTCAATGGAGAGGAACGCTCCTCGCGGCATTGTTTCTGTGCCTCTCAATCTCCTTAACCCTTTAAGGCGTGATGACCGAACACGAATATCGTGCCACGCTCTCAGCCTCCAATGCATCGCGCCTAATAGCGATGTTGTTGTATCTTATAGATAAATTTAAGACTGGTAGATTTAATTCTCATCATACGTTGGCATTGGATGCAATTTCAATGAGCGATAATATCATTCGGATTTTCAATTAGGATAAGATATGATATCACTTCCTTTTTAAACCTACAATATTACATTTCCTTATGAAACGTCGTTTGTTAAGCAGTTACAGTAACTAATATTTGCAATATACAAAAGGCTAAAAGGTGTTATCGGTAATTTCCGTTCCATCATAATACTTCTTTTTCTTTATCGCAAGTACTAGAATTGCCCATGTATCAATCCGCTTGAATATCTGATTGCATATCCTAGATTGATATGCGGCTCACATGAAACATCCCAGAGTGCCTCGTAGCAACGGATGGATGAAGCCATTAGTTGCACGTTGCGTGCAATCCGCATTCAAAGGAATCCCCTCGATTTTCAACCATATCCACTGCAATGTGATTATTGCAATCGAGCAAAAAAAGAAAACAAGATACAAGTGTACAATAGCTTTCTACGAGAATACCTAATATTTACCTAAATAATTAATCACTATGTATCAGAAAATATCGGTATGCAGAGAGCCGTTTATAATATATTGCGTGCGAATATTTTAATAATTGTCAGCAATACTAATAATCATCCGCTATCTATCGATTCGCGAATTCTTTACTAAACCCCGCCTTACGACACGGAACTTTGCCTTACAGAATCATCGTGTATCGAGATAATCACCGTTTGACGAGCTATGCGAACTTGAGGCCATACATGCCTCTTCAAACCACTGACTGGAAGATATGCAATGCCTCTCGATTTTCTTGCTCAGCTCAGGTTAATCGCGTGCGATCACGTTATACTCTCGTATGCATATCTGAATTTTTGTCCATGAAATTTTCTACCAGTTATTCAAATTAACTCTATTAAATAATATATCAACTTCTACATCATCCTACAGATCATATTAAAATAAAATTATCAAACATTAATTAATAATTTGTGTGTATCAAAATGAAAAAATTTCTCTGATTATGCAAAATTAATTATAAATTATTTTCTACGCACTGTTTTGATTATGACAAACTTTTTTATGGACTTATTTTAAAAATTTCAATGGTTTATTCATGAATGTATCTTGTTTATCGAATTTTCTCTGCATTAAATTCACGTTGAAGACGATCTAACAAAAAAAAAAAAGGAAAACGCGCTTGCTTACTATCGCCCGTACAGTTTTTAGTGTTTGCCGTAGGAGTTAGGACATCGAACATCTCTTTGCAAAGATACGCTTCATCCGGTGTGTTCCCCACTGTTTCAAGCAAGAAAAATGTTCAGGGATGCGCCGACTGTGTTCTTCACTCTTTTGATTTTAACGTCTGTTTGCTTACTATTTCCTGAAACATGTTCCAGCGGGGACGGACTGGATGCGTTCGATTTTTTCCATAGCCTTATGCAGGGTCGCGATGACGGTTCCATTAGTCGTGTTTACTCGGGACTGTCAGAGCATTGGAAAACGTATAGACTAGCAAAATACGAACCATTCCGTAGCAGCTTTAAGATAGCACACAAATTGTGTACAGCGGTTCGTCTTTATAGAATTGATTAAATAAAATTGCAATATTTCTAAACCATCTCCAAATATAATTAAAAATTTGAGAAATTTCTATTATAACAGATAGTCGCACAGATGTCCATCTCGTATTGATTAAGTCCAAAAACACGCAATAATTCATTATAGCAAATACATATCTAACAATATATATGTAAAAATATAATGCGCAATTCTCTTCGTGTAATTATAAGGTTTTTATAATCAAGGAATATCATATATAAATTTTATAATTAATCAATTAATCAATTGTTTCAGGTCACGGTTACTAGCACAACGACGACAAGCACGAACACAGTCCATCCTAGTGTAAATGATATGGATTGGTTCGCCGGTGTCGCCGAAGAGGAATTGCTATATTACACCGGCGTCGGCAATGACGTCGATTCCTTATGGGCTGTCATTGGGAGTTTTGTACCGCCGCCACCTAGGCCACCTTATCTACCCGAGGAGAGCATCGCCACCGACGGGCTCACCACCTGCGACTTGTGTTCCTGGGCATGGAGAAATGATAGGCATTCTTTCTCCCTTGATGGTACTCTTGGTGAGTCTTACATTTTTCACAGTATTAGAATTTTTTATCGCCTTCTTTGTCTGCCTTCGGACGGTATGCCGCTTGATTTAGTCGCGTATTACGTAAACAGTTAGAAAAATAATAGCGTTTATCTCCGTCCCAGCATTCTGTCTTACACAGTTATCTTTGAAATATTTTGACTTTGTCGAAATGTTTTAATTAAGTCTGCATTAAGTCATTCGAACGCGATTCAATCTTTATCAGGCACGGGTGAGAAGTGCTATCGAAATGGTTTGCTTCATCGGTGAAGTAGTACGACATGCGTCAGAGACTACGCTCTGTCGGTTTTTCTTGTCATCACTTCAGCTAGAAGTTCTCAAAGATGACGAGTGGTCGTTTCGAGCGAGCCATGCATCTGTCCACACCAGAACCGGATTATTCTTCGCATACATACTCGACTGTGTTTGCAATGTGTTTATTCGTCAAACAGCTTTTCCTGTCTAGTGCGTGCTTCAGGATTCGGGCATATCCCTCTCGAATAAGCGTCAACGATGTCCGTTGTAACGATGCTGTGAAATTCCTACTCATCACAAAAACCCCGGGACCAAACTTGCCAGATTCTCTCTTAATTATCGCTGTGATCTCGAGATGTACAGCAAACTGTTACTTCACATATTATTTCAACATAATTACACCCAAAAAAAAGAAAGCAAAAGCATTAAACTGCGTGTTTTTTTGTTAGAGTTGTAAATGTTGATTATACTTGGCAGCAGCTGACGGTAGAAGTTGCAAGTATATACACGCACAACGGCTTATGGCCAATAATGAGATCATTTCAAATCTTTATTTCTCACTCCGCAGGAAGTTTTATACGAGGATTTTCATTACTTTAGATTGCTTCAAATCAAGGGTTGGATACAGGAAGGACGTTAGCGCGATCACGAAAAAGATCGCTATTAAGAACGCACGATGTGATCGTCTTAAGCACGTTCATTGGCCATAATGATATAAACGCGAACATGGCGCGCATAAGTGTGCTGCACCTTTTGCCGGACATCTGTCACTCGAATTTAATTATGAGCATAAAATACATTTTGCACAAATCTCATAATAATAACACATCTTTACTTCCGATCAACTGTTGAAAATTACGGAAGAGTAATACTATCATACTCAACTAAATATATTAATGTAATTCCGATTGAACATCTCTTATTAAATTTGTTCTCGCAATGAAGCAAATCAAAAGTAATGAAATATACCGACATCGGTGCGAGCGCATTGCAACAATTTTCGACTGTAAAAGAATTCGACGGCCCTCCCAACATTTTCTATTGGTAAGATATAAACTGTAAGGGATAATTCGAGTACTTTTCTCTCGCAACGTAGGCCGACCTCCACATCCGGTCGGCATGCTCCGACCAATCAGAAACATGCCGGTCCCGCTCCCATGGCTCTCCCCTTTGGGATCGGCGTTCGCACGTACGCACGAAATGTACGGGAAGGTGTACGTAAGTTTCTACATCGTGACACGCGGGACTTCCCCACTCCTCCGGTGGGCCTCTTCGGGAGCATCGTCCCTTGACTCCGCTTCCTCCCGCGGGCCCCATCGTGCGGGCACGCATTATCGCCATTACCATGAATTCCCGCAGTTATTACGCCTCTGTTGCACCGCCACCAAAATGGCGGCTGGGTGCATCCTACCGTGCAAGGAGGACGCACTCCTCGTCTGCTCCTCTTTTTATTGTGGCGCCTGCACCGCCGGCATGTCGTGCTACGTTATACCGCTCGACAATTAACGTCGAGAATGGCGGCGGTCGATGGTAGGGATAATTGACCCTGTCAGGCCTATGACAGCACTTTTACACTACTACATGATTCGCCGGGTCGATCTTCTCATATTTTATATTTTTTTTTAGTCAGATAGTTGTAGCGTATTTCCGGCCGATAAAAGCCGAGGGTAATAGAGCCGAGGGTAATATTAGATTCAAATCTAATCGCCGCATTTTATCTCTTTTGATCACTTGAGCCTTTGTTTCGGATGACTATAAAATCATTCGGCATAATGCAAATGCAGTCGGAATACCGAGAACATTATGAGTAGCAGCTGTGTAATCATTTATAAACTTCGGATAAAATCTATTGTTAGTCATCACACCATCGTTATACTAATTAAAGCTTAATTACAATCATGCTAAAACTTGTTTTACACTTGAACAAAAAGTTCTTTGTTCTATTATCTTCATAAATATATATGCATCATATATTACACACTTGCGAGAAGCGAGCCGTGTTCTTACGTGTGAGACGAGACGTCGTCGCCAAATCGTAAAGTATGGGCGCACGAGTAGAACCCGGCGATAAATAAAGAAAATAGAACCGAGGCGAGAGAATGGTGCGTTGGGGGCTTCAAGGAGGTTGGCAACGGCGGTAATCATCGCGTCACTTCCCATCCTTTACGACGTAATAATTACGAGATCGCGCCTCTTACTCTCGACATGATGCAGGCCCGTGCTTGTCGACGAGGAAAGACAACGAGGAAGGCGGGAAAGACGGAGCCTAAAGAAAACAGAGGAGAGAGACGGAGAGCGGACTTTTTTAATGCAAGTTTGCAAGTATCTTTCGGTCTTCCGCCTCGTGTCGACATAAGCCGCACGATTTGGCGTGACTTCAACAGCAAGCGACTACTCGTACATTTCGCACTTGGAAATTTGCGCGAAACTTCATTAACGCTCAACGAGGGTGGTATTTGTTACGAACGATGAGTAAAAATGTTTCACACAAAACGCCAGTGAGAGATTCATAAACACAAGAACGATTAATTATCGCGCCCTTAAGGAATATTCTACCCAGAGAAGTGGATTTCAAGTTAATAGATAAGTAGTCGAGTATTTATTAAGTTGTCATGTACGCTATGCTAAACATTCAAATTGAACATTTATAGGAAATTAAAAAATTCCATAAGATACTTTAAATATATTCACAAACTTTCATGAAAAAGATAAATATAGATCAGAAGTGCAGATCAAAGTACGAAAAAATTAAATTTCCATTAGAAATTTAAAAATACTTTCGTCCATTTTTGTCTTCTATTATGCTAGAAATTTCATGTTTCAAAGCCGTTAGTCTTAGCGCTTTGCGCCGAATATGAATCGATTTAATAAGCCGCGACGCGTAACGGCGTGTATAAATCGCTAGACATTAATTACACCACGGCATTATGCAAACGTTGCACAAAGCGATTTCCGAAGACGTAAAAACAATTGCACAAAATTGCAACACGCAAAGTTGTCGACCTCACATGTTTATCGATCTATAACGCGCTACAATGTTTCTTAATATATCTTTCATGAATATAAAAATTAATTCCTATCCCAAGTAATTAATAATCATTAAAAAATCAAAAGAATTAGTCAAATTCTTTCTAGACATATTAATCTGTGGAATAATTCAACAATACTGTAAATCTGGCAAAAAAAGAGTATTGTATTCATTATTCAAAAACATTTTCGAAAACTTAAAGTATTTTACGGAGTTTCTTATAAACCTTCGATTTAATATCTAACATAGCGTATTTGACAACTTAATATTATTTAAAAAGTAAATGCAAAAATCGATCAATCATAACGCGGAATAAGTGTACCGTTTGACATAAATTAATATCTTGATTGTACACATACGTTATGAAGAGAATAGAGAATAGAATTCAATTTGCAAAAATACGAAGCAAAATCCTTCTATCAATAATCGACGATCGTACTTCTAATTCACGCTATGTGCCCGCAAGTACATTCTACTATTTTCACGGTACGGTAACCAGCAGGTAGCCGTACTCTCTCCCGCGTATATATTCGTAGTGGACCGATATTATCTCGTTGCGTACACGCCTGGACCAAGAGAACGTAACGAGGCCTCCCTTAGTCCAACGGTAAGCATCTCCTCCGTCTTTTCCTCTTCTTCTTCTTCTCTTTCGTCGTGCTCGTTCCCCTCGCTCTTCTCGACGTCTTCCTTTTTCGACGAGCCACGGTGTTCGGTATTCGCCGCGACGAAGTAAGCACCTTCGCGCCTGTATATCGCGCGGCGCCGACGAATGCAAACGAGAACGAGTAGCGAGGAGCCTGGTGCGCGCGAACGAAAATTTCATTGGGCTAACCCTCGTGTCCCACCTTCCCGCCTCTTATGTGCTCCTGAGCCGCGCACTTTTAATCTAAGAGCCGATCTCGCCCATGTAGATTTATTGGCAGGGCCCGCGACGCGACGCGTTCGAGCAATGCGTGGGCTATCACTCGCAAGCGGCTTTTTCCCATTGCGAATTAAACGAATTCAATGTTTGTTTATCGCTAATCCGCTAAACAATAATTTTTTCTTCCATTCTTTACTTACATATTTATGAAATAAGCAAAAACCAATTAATCATTAAGGACTGCATTTGTTAAAAGAAATATGAAGAGAGAAAAATATTTAAATGGAACATCCGCGAAATAAAGCGAATGATTTAACGCCCAGTTCACCTAAAAGGATAACAATGTTTTCGTAACGTAATGTAAGCAGATTTAAACGTCGTCGCATATGTAATGTTCCTCAATTGTGTCGCCGGTATGAATACACAAGTAGATTCCATTCGGCTGATGGCAGAGATGAAAAATGATTTGCGATCTCGCGGAGAAGCGCACGTATGAATTATCGCGGGCTCCGCTAATGCCATCAGATAGCTGTCATGAAAGCGGAGAAATTATATAGGAAGAGAGGCTAAGACTAGTGAGCGTATTAATCGTGCATTTTAGTAGATAATTAATTCAACTTCAAAGAGCCACGAGTTAATTATATGTAAATAAAGATCGCCAGTGCAGATAGGCAAATCATCAATCTTGCGTGATGCGGACGACGTACTGTTATACACACATGCCGGCGCATGTGAATTATAGAAAATGGTAAATTGGATAATGGTACGTTTATTAGCCGGTGATAGTGCATTGCATCGATGCCCACGCGCGCTCTCGCAGCATGTATCGCACGATTTCGCCAAGACG